CCAGGGCTGGGGCAGCCACAGCCTCCCTGGGCAACCTGGGACAGTGTCTCACCACCCTCACAGGAAAAAACTTTTTTCTCACATCCAACCTAGACTTTCCCTCCTTCTGTTCAAACCTGTTACCCCTTGTCCTATCATTGCAGTTCCTAACACAGAGTCCCTCTCTGGCTCCTTGTAGGCCCTTCAGATATTGAAAAGACATAAGGAGGACATGGAACTGTTGGAGCAAGTCCAGAGGAGCAAAGTTGTGAAGAGGACTGGAGCACTATGGAGACAGGCTGAGGGAGTTGGGGCTGTTGAGCCTGGAGAAGACTGTATGGAGACCTCAGAGCAACTTTTCAATATCTGAAGGGCCTACAGGGACTCCTTGTTAGGAACTGCAATGACAGAACAAAAGGTTCAAACTGAAGGAGAGGAAGTTTAAGTTAGATGTAAGAAAAAAGTTTTTTACTCTAAGGCTGTTGAGACACTGGCACAGGTTGCCCAGGGAGGCTGTGGCTGCCCCAACCTTGGAGGTGTTCAAGGCCAGGCTGGATGAGCCTTGTGCAACCTGATCTAGTGAGGAGGTGTCCCTGCCTAGATTAAGGAAAGGGTTTAGTAAAGTGTTTAAACTGTGTTCAGCATATACTTATAAAATGTGCATAAACTCTGACCACAGACATAACAATGTTTGCCCTGGTGAGGCCACACCTGGAGGATTGTGTCCAGTTCTGGGCTCCTCAGGACAAGAGGGACATGGAGCTCCTGGAGCAGGTCCAGCAAGGAAGGGCAACAAACATGATGAAGGGACTGGAGCACCTCAGTGATGAGGAAAGGCTGAAGGAGTTGGGGCTGTTCGGTCTCAAGAAGAGATGACTTAGAGGAACTTCATTAATATTTTCAAGAACATGAATGGGCAGTGCCAAGAGGATGGATCAGGCTCTTCTCAGTGGTGGAAGTCAATAAAACAACAGGTAACAGGCAAAACCTGATGTACAGGAAGTTCCACCTGAATACAAGGAAGAACTTTCCTATGCAGTCACTGAGCACTGAACAGATTGCCCAGAGAGGTTGTGGATTCTCCTCACTGGAGATATTCCAGAACCATCTGGACACAATCCTGAGCCATGTGCTCTAGGGTGGCCCTGCTGGAGTAGGGAGGTTGGACCAGATGACCCATTGTGGTCCCTTCCTACCTCACTGATTCTGTGATTCTGTAATGTGAATCTTACACCACTTGCACAGTCTATCAATCTTATAATCAATAGGACTAAAAATACAATTTCCATCTTCTTACTAACAGTTTTTGTATACAGTACAAAGAGGAAATAGTTGATCCTAGTTTTCACATTTTATTCAAACTGGAGAAGATTAGCTTATCTCAATCCATATAAACAGGAGACAAAAGATGCTGAAAGCTCCAAGTCAAAGATATTTTTAATGCCATGTGATTAAGCTCAGAAAGCAAAGTACACAAAGACATGGGGAAAAGCTAAATGCATACAGAGGCTGCATTTTTCACTGGCAGCAGTTAGACAAATTGCTGCTTCAGTAAGAAAAATCTGATCCTTTATTTGCTGTTTTATCACGCTTTCAATAATGGCTGAGAACATCACTGAACAGGAGATCACAGTTTTCAACAGAATGCACCTGTTATTGTGATGCTGTAATATGCAATGTTCTGTGGTCAGAGATTATCTATAGGAGGAATAAACTGAAACAAAGTTTTATCTCAGCAAGTAGCTGAGGAAGGATATTGAGAGCCCAGTCCTCACTGAAATAAGTGGATGGCCTCTTTCCTACAGGAACTTCAATCAGTCCTGAGGTTCTCCTGACTTACTCCTAGCCAGGCAGGGCTAGATGTCAGCAAACCAGATCACCAGATCCATACCAACCCTCCTTCTACACTGAAATTCTCTTCTAATTTCAGTATTCCCAACCAAACCCATGTTATGCATCCTCAGCACAACTTCTGTGGTGAGCTGAATTCAACAACCCAAACCATAATGGCATTCAACTTCAGCCATCCTACCTCTGGCTCAGCCCCAGGGGAACAGATACCTTCAACGCAGGGAGGGAGAACAGACCCACATTCTCAAGAACATACTGACAATATTTTCTCTGGTATGATATCAACACAATGAAACGACCCCAATTCCACAGACACAGCTGTGCTAAGTGTATCTGAGCCACTGCATGCACCAAACCTTGGACTGGGCTCTACTGACAGCTGACTCATGTATTAAGGGGCTGACTCTTCAGAATGGCTTAATACACACAAACCCCATGCAAGCACATGCTGACAAGTGTCCACTGGCACCTTATGTTCTGTTCTCTCCATGTTGCCACCCCTTACAGAGATTATATATGGCATAGGCTCTAGCAGGCATGAGAGCAGATAAAAATCTAGCCAAAGGAATGTAGAAGGTTTTACTGCAGAGTATTTTTTCAGCTCTGCAGCACCCAAACAGGAAGAGAAAGTGGTTTAGCTGACTATACAATACTCTCAGGATAAGTCAGCCTGCCTGCAATGACAACCTTACACGTAGACACTAAGGTTTACTACACAAGGCATTGACCTTCCATTGAAGCTTCATTCCACTGAAGCTTCCATTGGACCTCCCAACTAAATCTTCCCTTCTGAAGGTCAACAGCTTCTGAAGGTAACAACTAGGTATGCACTGAACTACAGAAACTATATCCAGAGGGAGGTAGCTGGCTCACCTAACTATATCACAAACTACACTGGTGTTCTCCTTCAAAGCCAGTAGGGAGGTAGACACAGCAACATCTGTGAGGTGTGCTGGTTTGAGCTGGAGTAGAGTTAACTTTCTTCATAGAGGCTAGTATGAGGCTATGTTTGGGTTTTGTGCTGAACACAGAGTTGATAATGCAGAGATGTTTTTGTCATTGCTGAGCAGAGCTCACACAGAGCCAAGGCCTTTGCTGCTTTCTGTACTGCCACACTGGCAAGGGAGTTGGGGATGCATGGGAGATTGGGAGGAGACACAGCTGGGACAGGTGACCCAACCTGACCAAAGGGATATTCCACACCACAGCACATCAGGCTCAGTGTATAAGGTGGGAGGAAGAAGGAGGAAGGAGGGACAGCTGGAGTGATGTGTTTGGCTCCCAAGGAACCGTTACGCGTGATGGGCCCTGCTCTCCTGGAGATGGCTGAACACCTCCTGTCTGTGGGAAGCAGTGAATGAATTCCTTGTTTTGCTATGCTTGTGTGTGCAGCTTTTGCTTTCTCTATTAAACTGTCTTTATCTCAACCCATGAGTTTTTGTAGCTTTTACCCTTCTCATTCGCTCCCCCATCCCGTTGGTGGGGGAGTGAGTGAGTGGCTGCTGGTTCTTGGCTGCTGCTGGGGTTAAACCACGACAGAGGATAACAGAATAAAGCCATAATAACAAGTGGTGGAGCAGAAATCCTCCTGTCCTCAATCCCAGATGCAGACCTCAACTGTACTGATTGCTCAGAACACCTCTGACCCCAACCCTCTCCCCCAGCAGCTGGAGCCACCTCTTACCGTTTCTTAATCTCAGAGTCACTGAAAGAGGACAGCCGTGGAAGGCCATTCTTCTCATGGTCATGTACAATGTTTTCTGGGATCTCTTCTATGGAAGAAAATGCTCCTAGACAAATCAAAACGAGACAGCAAGTGATTCTTTCAAGGGAAAAAAACCTAAACAGTGAATATAAGCAAGCATGTGTGCCTTTGGCTGACAGCTTTATGTCTTTCTCTTTTCTGTATTTTTGCCACTTAGAGTTACTATGTTTAAAGCTGTTAAATTATGAGAGATTCTGACTGCAAAGCTGAAAACTGTTAGACTTCTTTAAGGTATGTGACATCAAGGTCCAAGACCAAATGGCCTCAAAACTCTCAGAAAAGCACATTATGCAAATTTCATCGGCAATTATGTCTAAGCCTGTAATG